AGAATTAACACAGAAGAAAAGAGAATTAAGACAAAAGGAAAGAGAGAGACTGCTATCAATCCTCTGCTATAAATCATGTGGCCTCGCCACATCGCCCACCCTCGCCAGCTGAGCTCGCACCGGCCTCCGCCCTCGCGCCCTCCCTCATGCACCGGCTGTGCTTCGCCATAGTGCATCGCCATCGTCGTCGCCTGCCGCCATCGCCTTCGCCGTCTTGCTGTGCCCTCGAGGAGGATTGCGGACTGCATAAAAATACTTTCTGCTCATCCAAGCGGTGAACGCATCCAGGTGACCACCACCATCCCCTTTTTCTGCTCTTTATTTACTTTCCTGCGCATCGGCACAAGCAAGGCAACAAGGAAAATGATTATTTTCAATACTTGCTAATTGGAAGAGTGAAAAAATACTCAAAACCGAACTGAACTGCGGCTATGCCAAACCGAAATGAACTGCTGCTATATAGCTACACATATATGAGCTGAAACACATGCATATATTTTTAATCGGCAAGAGCAAACAAAGATCAGTACAGAGGTTAACTTAAAACTTAACAAGGTATACACATAATACGATGCAGTATCTATCAACAAGCAGCACCATTAAATAATATATAGAATTTGATGTCAAAATGTAACTGCCGTAAGAATAGTTGAGGAAAGCAATGTTCATAACATAAACAAACATGGTTTCTAGCATAGTATTTTTTGCAAATTTGGTTCATTGCCCAGAATCCTTATAGGGCTGCAGCCTTGACAGTTACCATACAACATAGATAAAACTCTGAATTTTAATGGAGCCTATACTGCTAGAGTACATCAATATATGCAAATCTGAACTTGCATGCCAAAAAAAATTGAACACAATAATTAGCAGCAAGCTAATGAATGCAGCAGAAAAAAGAAATATTATCAAACTCACTTGAATCGGCAATGGAAGATACTAGCTGCAAGCTATTTAAAGCAACGCTTTCAGAGAACATCCAAATAACCAATTCCAGTTAGTAACTGAATTTTGGTTTCTTAGTTGCCGATATGGTTTATGGGCAGCCCGCTATCCGCCTTCCCCCAAATCAGTTTGTTTCCCACGGTGCAAGAAAGAAATAAAAAATAGTAGAATGCGCGCGCCCTCCGCGCACGTGGATAAACAAAATATGGCTGTTATATAGACACATGCAGAATATGGTTGTTATATAGAAACCTTTGAATTATTACTCTATATGTTATCCTACTAATTATTGTTCTTTTCTTTTTATTCTTTGGAATGCAGAATTAACGACAAAAGGCCAGGGGCTCAGGGTGTGACTTCAAAAACATTCTTTACTGTGTGGTTAGATCATATACTGATTTATGTGATAGACTTTCTTTACTATGTGGTTATTCATACACTGATTTATGTGATAGACTGATAATGAAGTACGTCTTTTAGGTCTCGATGGATAGTTCAGATGCAAAGGTTTCGAAGGAAAATGGAGGCCCCTTAGAAGATATTGTACAAACAGAAAATTCCAGTGAGCCTATGGATGATTCTAGATGGTTGCAAGAAAGCATGAGTACAAAAGTTACCAACGAAGCTCTACCAGTTGACCAGGGCTTTAGCACGGCCCATGATGAAAAGGCCCTATCAACTTCTAGGGTAGATCCGACGGGAGAAAAAAGACTTTCGAAAATCATAATCGTACAAAATAAACCCAAAAAATCTATGTCTTCACCGGTTGCCCCAGAAGGTATTGATATTTTCTTTTTGATGGATTAACCTAGAAAAACTACTAACTATTGTTGTATACTTTAATTTAATCCTCTTTTTCAGATTATGTTTGTACCAATACTGATAGAGCCATAATTGAATCTGTCAAAAAATTCCATCTTCACCTAGGAATGAGGAGCTTGTGCTCATAGATGATGTTCTGGTGTCGAGAAACCACATGGAATGTCTTTTTCAGCCATATGAATACTTGTCTGACGAGGTAACAGATGCAAGTCATAATACTCAATCAAACATTGCCAACTTCAATGCTCTTTCTCTCTAATGGCGAAATGTATGGAAGTCATAGATGCTTATATTAAACTACTAAAGGCTCAGGAGGGTTTGAAAAAGAGGCTAGGAGGTACAGTCTATCTTGAAACTGCATGCTTAGTTGCAATCATGAAGCGGGATGGAGAAAAGGATGAGACCATTGAAGCCAATTACCCTAACCGTGGCACTTCACAGCGTCCTGGTTTAGTTCAAAGGGTGCTAGCTTACTTAAAGCATGACATGGTAGCAATTTTTTTAAACGATCTATTGGTCTTTCATTATCAATTTTTTATGCCTGACAAAATGTTTATTGTTTGATTTGATAGGTGTTCCTTCTAATAAATGTTACAAATACACATTGGTACCTTGCTGTTATAAACGCTATCAAACATGAGGTTCAGGTGCTAGACTCTTTGGGTGAGATGTTCGGACGTGTTGACCTCAATAAAATTGTGGGTATTTCCTAACATAGCTATTTCTACACATTTTATATTTTAGAAATGTTGATTGATTCATTCTTCTATGAACAAATAGTGAGCTGGATTGTGGAAACAGATAGATTTCATATTGGAGGAGGCAGGCCCGAAAGAGCACAAATGGCTAGATGTTGAGGTTGATACCTGGCCGGTTAGGGAGATTTTCCGCGGGAAATTATTACAAACACATATAAGTTGAATTTTATGAGTCTTTGCCTTTTTGATCTAATGTGAGTCTGAACCTCTATTAATGTTGTATGTAGTTTTTCATGCGGTTTATTCTTAATAAACTTTATGGAGTATTGGACTGGGAACGATTTGTCAAACGAGTTTAATCAGGTAAACTATGCGTCTTACCACAAGTTATGAGTGTGCATTGGCTGTGGGTTTTTAATTAATAATTAATTAGGTTCATACTATCGTGCAGGATGATATGAAAGAATTTAGATTGAAGCTTGCGGTGATCTTGCTATTGTCAGAGTTAAACAAACGAAAGGGTGCTCCATATCTTGATAGGGATGAAAATATTGGAAGCCCAAGCGACTGTGCCATAATAGAGAATCCAAAGATGGCTGATCAAGTGTCCACAAAAAAGAGAAAACATTATGAGGAGGCCGAATGCTTAGTGGTTCAAACGAACACCCCTCAACACATACAAACTCAGAATAAATCCCCACAAGTCCATGCCAACTAAGACCCTGATGAGTTTTGGGCATTTGAGGCCATGAAAGACATGCCAATGAACAAGAAAGAGATGAATGAGTTACTATGTGATTACGTCATGGCAATTCAGGATGAAGCGACGTTGAAGTAAGCTACATGCTTATTTTAATTACTTTATTTACTAATAATAGTGTGTTATCTTATATGACGAAAACCATCGTATGTGTCTAATGCTTTGCAGAAAGCCTTGGGTTAAAGGTTTTCATCCCTCCATGATTGCCCTAAGTGTCAAGGACCTACAAGAGTTGTTAATTAATAATCGAGACATCTCTGAGAACTGTTTCAACTTAGGTGTCCGTTTTCAGGCAGCTCGAGAGTACAATACAATGAAAAAATACAATAGTATTATGAAGCATCACATGGACCTGAGATTCTGTGTAAGCATATTTTTAAAATTCTTATCGTGCTATATTATATTGTCTTATTTGTTGTTCTCCTAATTGTATAAAGTAGGCCAAGTTATACTAATCTTGACTCTCGATATCCTTCTCTTCCAGAAAATGTGTGCTTTAACAAAAATGCCAAAATACCGTAAAAATACACTAAGAAAGAAATGGCTGCTGCGATTGGTGTATGTGAGGATATGGAATACAACTTAGCACAATGCAGATATGTAAGTCGCTTGCTCCTGCTTTTATTACTTGTTTCCTATATACTATTCTAAACGCTACCATGTTTGCAGTTTCTTTTGCCATGGCTACACATTCCAAAGTATATGCTTTATGTTTTTGATCAGAAGGAGAAGATACTTATCATGATTGATCCTAGACCTATTGAACACTGGTGTAAAGACACACCAGCGCTGATGTATGCCAGGTACACTCTTGGATTTACCATACAGTACACGGACGCAGTGAATGTACATATTCCTGGATGGAATGAGGATGTCTTCAAATGGAAATTTAGACGGGAAGGAAACATTGCAGAGGACATAGATGGGTAACTAACGTAAAGTCACTATAGCTTGCAATAATAATACCTACTATTTAACTATTTCTATATATCGCTGATCGTGAATCTTGCCACAGACACTTAAGTGGATATCTTATTCTACAGTATATATCTGCGTGGAATAGACCAAAAGCCACACATATTTATACAGTGAGTATAACACTTTGTTTTAAGTTTTTGTGGAAGATTTTTCAAAAGACACAGTATTACCCATGCGACAAGCACTAATATTGATATATATACTCGAACATATGTACATGATGGTATGGAGATGCGACGGAACTTATTCGTGGATTTATTGGAGCACGAAAGAAATGGATATCGGAGATTTCTTTCTGCCGATATAAAACATTATCTTAGGCGCATCACGGAAAGGTCTATAAAGTAGAGTTTGTAAGCCTATGACGCCGCGCTCTCCGTGACTGTTAATTTCACAAACTTTGCTTTTTGGATTAACTGTAACTTTAACGTTGATATTTAATTTTATAGTATTATTATTTTATCGTGCGATCCATGTGTTTTTAGTATAAAAGTTTAGTTGTCCGTAGCAACGCACGGGCACACTACCTAGTATATAGAAAAACAAAAAAACATTCGTCGAGAGATCAAATCCATGCACCGGCATTTTGGAAGTAGTATTGGAAAGAACTTGCTTTGCTTCCATAAAAAAAAAGGTGGCATTGAAGAGATCAAATCTGCGCGAATAGAATTTTTTCATTGATTCATTATATATATCTACCATATCGATACAATTTGGACGAGTATATGATTGTACTCGTCCTGAAGCATAATAACTAACCTAAACTATTAAAACTACTTATACTAATTATAAACTACTTAATCTAAATATGATCGCTTGCCTTGCTCGCTTGGGAGCAGGTGAGTCGAAGTCGAGTCCGAGTCAGAGTCGGCGTTGGCGTCGGCGTCGGCCTCATCCTCGTCCTCCTCTGGTCCTCTTCTCGGAGCTCCACGGAGGACTATAATCAAACGACATCCCATTGTTGGAGGAGACGTTCTCCTCAGAGGAGTGGTGGGAAGGCAATTCGTCCTCGCTGGACGACGAGCTGCTTGGAAACTTGATGGGACTGTCTGACATTTTCTTTGTAGATTGGAAGGTAAGGGGATGATGGATGAAGAAGAGGCGTTGTTTCAGAGGGCACCGGGCTTGAAGTATATGTAGAGCAGTGGGTAAGCGGCTCTTAGGCTTTAGGCAGCCGAAGTAATGGTGATTTGATGACCTTGGAAGTTGAGGCAATTCAACACTCACGCTGAATTTACCGCTGGTTGACCAAATGCTAGTTTAGGGCCGGCGGGCAAAATGCATATCTCAGTCGGCCCGGCTTTTCATGCGACAGAGCAAATGCAACACCAATACCACTGTTGCATCTATCGTTAACCCGTCGGTGGTAGAAGTCTGAACTGCCGGTTTCATTCCTATGAGGCCTCGCTATCGTTTCAACTGACGGTGAAAGTATCACATCGTCGCTTCTATCGCTACGGCAGTGAAAGTGGTGATAGCGATATATCAATCTGTAGTAGTGGATGCTTTATGTGCCTTGTGTGGGACCACAAGGTTGCTTCCTATCAGGACCCATTGAGGTGCTTTCGCTGCAACTACAGCGGACACTTATCCAAGCATTGCCTAGGACGCCGTAGCCTCAACAGTCGCCGTTGAGACTTTTTCTACCGGACAACATGGGAATATATCAAAGCCAAGGACGACTTTGTTTAAAGAAGAAAAGGATGATGAAGCCATGGCTTCTCAAAGTATATTTGTGGAAAATTCTTCTCCAATTTCAAATATGGTAATTGGTCTTCAATTTGGAGCTATTATTTTTGATGAGAAATATAGCGAGAACATGGAAAATTTTACTTCTACTGGCCTATCATCAAATATATTTTTTAGAGGTGCTTTATTGGTTGGAAAAGAGAACAAGGACGATAAGCAAATATGTCTATATAGAGACCATGCACATGGAGATGAAGGGCTGCCGAATCAGACGTGAACTTTATTTGACAAATTATTATTAGCAAGGTTGCCGCAATATTATATTGTTGTCCTGGCTTTGGGCACGTAGTTTATTTTCTTATGATTCCGTCACGTGACACTACAACAAAAAGCATTTGTAGGGGTGGCTGGAGATCGTTTGTAGAGGTGGCTCAGCCAGCCGCCCCTACCGTACCATCTCTACAAATCATACATTTGTAGGGCGGTTCCCAGACCGCCCTTATAAATCGATTTGTAGGGGCGGTTGGTACTGTAGCCGCCCCTACAAATTGATTTGTAGGGGCAGCTACAGTACCAACCGCCCCTACAGTACATTTTTCTGTTAAAAAAATTCAATTTACAATTCAAATTCGACCAATATATATATATATATAATTTAAATCTGACCAGAACATATATAATTCAAATCTGACCACAAGCATAAGAGCATTATATAAACTACCATTACAAGTCCAATTCACAAGAATATATATACAATACATCTTAAATCTCCAATTAGTAGGCATGCTGATATATCAGGACAACTGCAGGAAATCATAGAATTGGCAGCTGCCAGGATGAGGGAGATGTCCTGGCCACGACTAAACGCTTGATTGAAAAGGAAACGTGACTGGAATGTTGACACAAAGGGGAACCACGAGAAGAAGACGATGGGCACAAAGATGATGGCGCCCATTCCTGCATCGTACATCCTTGCAATCTCACGGACTGAATCCCATAGCCCAAGGGCTTTCACTACCCTCTTCCATGCGACGGCCAGCTGTCATGACAAGGAAAATTTTGGTGAGGCATGTGGCACCAGGCAAGTTACCTGCCATTAACTTGGCACTTGTAATATTCAAAATTTGCTTCAATTAAGTAGCAGATTGATATAATGCAAGTATTTCTCAAACAAAATAAGGATGTTGTACTTACACATAAGACACACCAGCCAGTTGCTATAAAAGCAAGTGCACTTGCAAATAAATCAGCAACAGTGAACGATGTGAGCACGATAAGAAGGGCAATTCCTGAAATTATCCCAATAGCAAGGACGCCCTGCAGAAACCGAACAAAAGTCGGCAAGGCTGTCGACTTCTTCGGAGTTGCAGTAAAAAGCTGAAAGACAACAGGACAAAGCTTAGCTTAGAGTTCATCCATATATAATTTTAAAACATGCAGCATTTGAAAGTTCAAAGAATTAACATGATAAACCTTGAAAAGAAGAACCATAACAACGAGTACAATCCATGAGAAGCCATAAACCTGCACAGTGACAGAAGGCATTAGATAGACAGAACAAACAAAACTCGGATGGTGATAGGATCCCAAGTTAAATATAACATCCAAATGGTTGGTTATTAATGTTTTTATGTTGCTTAAATTGAACATTTAAGTTACAAATATCTACTTCAAGGCCAAAATCCATAGTAAAATTACTTGGAAAAAATGAGGTATAATAACATCATTCAACAAGGAAAAATCATACATTTTATTTCACACTATAAAAGAAATAGAAGAATGTTTTGTGTTACTCATTGTTGATAAACAGGGTTGAATTCTTTTAGGGCCTGGAAAAATCATACATCGTTGGCGTGGACAAGTGCTCAGATTTTAAGTGTCATCATCATAGGCTAAGACATAAGCTCAGAAAAAATAAGCATTTCATACATTCTAAAACAAAGCTAACCACGTCACAGACTAGGACATGTGCTCAGGAAAGGGCTTATAGATGCAAGCATTCAAGAACTCATTCAATATCATCACAGAGAACGCATCATGTATTATCCACAATAACAAGAATCCAGAGGGGAAGAAGCTTGAGTAGAAGATCTCAGATATACCGAGCTCGATGCCGAAACACCACAAGTTGCAGCACGTAGGAACCCCAAATCCACGGATCCGGATTAGTGCTGCAAGAACAAATAAAGGATGCGCCAGATTAGGGTTAGAATATGAACAATTTTTTGGGGAAAAAGAAAGAGGAGCTCGCATCGTGCCTCTTTGCAAGCGGCAGTTTTGGCGAATCCCAGCTGCAAAAGAACACAGGATCTACTGATTAGAGTTCGATTGGACCAAAAAACCAAGGAAGAAAGGGGAGGGAGAGGATGCGCTCACGTGGGAACTGAGGGGCGGGGCGTACCTTGTTGCAGGAGGCCTCCGGGTAGAGGTACCTGGCGACCTTGGAGGACAGCGCGTGGCCACCGCCGCCACCGTTTGACTCTATTGCGCTGCTGCAGGCGATGCGCTGCTCGCCGGCCGACGACCTGGCCTTGGCCATCCCTCACTCGCCCCTCGCTGCCGCTCGCGGGTGGGGGGAGTAGAAGCAGATGGAGCGGCGGCGGGATCCCCGAGGCGAGGCGGGAGAGTTGGGAGATGGGATCGCGGGCGGTCGCAGCTGGCGGCGGCGCACGTGGGGGAAAAATCGAAATCGGCTCCCTCGATCTACGCCGCTGCAGCTCATGGACAGAGGAGCAAGGAGGCCGGCGGCGCTGGTGTCAGAGGGAGAGAGAGCGCGTGCGGAAGGAGGCCGGCGGCGGCAAGTGCGGGTGCCAAACCCTAGCCAGTGTGCACCCTCTGTTTTATATGCGTGCAAGTACTACCGCCTCTCGGGTGGGCAGAAAGGCCGGCGTGGCCCAGGCCTAGGTTATCTGCTCGTAAGTTTTCCGTCACGGTATTTGTAGGAGGCGGCTCAATCACCAGCTGCCCCTACAAATAGCAACACGGGAGGCGGGTGAGTGAGCCGCCTCTATAAATCCTACTTATTTATAGGGGCGGCTCATATCACCAGCCGCTTTCCATTTGTAGAGGCGGCTGGTCTCGTGGATCCTGAGCATGTCACTGTAGGGGCGGCTTCATCACTAACCGCCCCTAAAAAAAATTGTCCCATTGCTACAAACCGTTTTTTACGTAGTGTGAGTCCTACTCGAGTTTGGCTGGCCTGCGAGCCATATAGCCTGGACACCGTCCATGTACGAGATTAGATTAGAATTTTATATTGTGGAGTATTCCCCGTCGAGCCGCCGCTCGTGAAACCATAGATGATGTGTTCATCAGGTTCTTCATCTTGAAGATTATCTTCCGGATTCTTGTGGATCTGCGTGGAGTGCGTGATCAAGTTTCTACATCTTGGGTACACTACTTGGAATTCTTGGAGTTCCTCATCTTCTGATCGTGGTTTGTCATGGCCGCGGGTGGAAGGATTCTTCGGATTTGGATTGCACCTTGTATTAGCCGAATCTAACTACCAGTGCTACTGTTTGGCTTTGACTGATCGATCAGAATTTATACTATCCAATCAGAATATTTTATTTGGTCAATATAATTTCCCGTGAGAATTATTTGCTGTGCTTGTTTACCTGCTGTTGCCATACGAATATACTGTTGCCATACGTATATTGAGATTGGATCAAAAGTTGTTGCCGTGTGTGTCATTAGTTACATTACTACTACACGGCCACTTAAATTAATCTAGATATTTTGGTCTGCCGAGAGGTATCAAAAGTGAATTGGCATCTGAATATTTTCTTTGTTGCCATGAAAATCTTATCGTTGCTGACTCCCATACCAGCTATTTGTATTCCGGCAAAGAGGAATTGATCCGAATATTAAATTTCAGATTAGTGTTTACTTGATTTTGGACTGCTGCTGGCACCGTGAAAGATTTGGGCAATTAATTGGACATTGTAGGTGTGTCCTCGTCAGGTGGTATCAGAGCTTCAGGTATACCATTAGGTTCATATCTTACTCTTAGTTCGAGTGTTTTCGCTTTCCGCCCAAATCGATAGTTATCTTGAACCTGACGAAAGATCGGGAACCCCGCACCATCAGGTGGTATCGGCTTCTGGGTTGCTCATGGTACATTTAAGTTTGTTCAATCGCTGATTATAGTCCTGGTAACAAGGAAATTAAGTGTGTGCCCACACTTTATTTAATAACCTATGATGACAGTTACTATGTTTAGGAAGATGCAATGGGGGATTTCTTACGGGGTCGTGGACTCGCGTCACACATGCAGCTGTTCTTTGCAAAGAAGACATTTTCTGATAATCTTTCTATGTGGTGGCGAGGATTACATAAAGGATATATCATGAGAGGTGAAGAACCTTGCAGGACATGGAACGATATGAAAGCTGTGCTACGACACCGAATTGCTCCTCTGCTTGAGTCCAAGAAGAAGGTAGCTACTACACATGGACAAAATCCCCAAGGCACTAAGAAAAATGTGCGCTCGTCATGGGCTGATACCGTCGTTGGAGATGGGTACCTTCCTGCTTCTGCACGGCAAGCTGTTGATATTAATTCCTCTGAGAGGAAGCCGGGTTCTGGTGTTACTTATGGCAAGTCTATGCATACTGAAAATTTTCCGTGTCCTAAATTGAAGCCAGCTACCAGTCAAACTATGGTGAAAAGTTATCTGCTTGTGCTCGCATTTCTCTTGCTCCCAAGAAAAAGTGCATGGCAGCGAAGGAAGATCAGTATGTTGACAATCCGAAATGGTACGCTACTTGGAATTCTTGGAGTTCTTCATCTTCTGATCCTGGTTTGTCATGGCCGCGGGTGGAAGGATTCTTCGGGTTTGGATTGCACCTTGTGTAAGCCGAATCTAACTATCAGTGCTACTGTTTGGCTTTGATTGATCGATCAGAATTTATACTATCCATTCAGATTATTTTATTTGGTCAATATAATTTCCCGTGAGAATTATTTGCTGTGCTTGTTTACCTGCTGTTGCCATAGGTATATTGAGATTGGATCAAAAGTTGTTGCCGTGTGTGTCATTAGTCACATTACTACTACACGGCCACTTAAATTAATCTAGATATTTTGGTCTGCCGAGACGTATCAAAAGTGAATTGGCATCTGAATATTTTCTTTGTTGCCGTGAAAATCTTATCGTTGCTGACTCCCATACCAGCTATTTGTATTCCGGCAAAGAGGAATTGATCTGAATATTAAATCAGTGTCATTGAAAATTCAGATTAGTGTTTACTTGATTTTGGACTGCTGCTGCACCGTGAAAGATTTGGGTAATTAATTGGACATTGTAGGCACGTCCTCGTCATAAGGTCAAAAATTTTGCTCCAATATTTGCGCAATATTACTCTAAATCTAATATAGACAAACTAATCTCTACACTTTATTTTTTTTGCCAGTGGTAGAATGGTCATTTTACCTCTGACTTAACAACGTTAAGTGGTAGAAACGGACGGAAGGCTATACAGGGAAGGAATTTTCGTTTTTTGGTCTTGTAGGTAAGTTAAAAAAAATAGATCCATGGAAGAAAGACATATTTTTTAAGGCTAAATATCTATATATACTTTGGTACGCGGAAGCTCTGATGGGAAGCATAATGCAAAAATGAGCCAACACGTTGGGCTTGGGCCAAGACAAAACAGAGCGGACTTCAGGCCGGGCCCAGGTGGTCAACTCTACACCGACGATGAGGTGACAGGGGAGTGGGGAGTAGGAAGAGCGCGTGCCGCCGGCCGCCGGAGCAGACAGCCCAGGCGACGCCACGCCTCCCCACCACACGCGCAGGCGCTCTCGAGGAGTCGAGGTATGGTCGCTTTGCTCCCCTGTCCCCACGTCACAGTCCAGAGTCCACAGCCTGTTATTCGGTTCCGATTGCAGCAGGAGCAGGATAGCATTAGCCTGTCTTATTAGTTGAATATTTGATGCATTACAATTTGCAACAGGAGTATCTGTAATCGAACTGTCCTACGAGGAACTAGCCTGTCTTTGGTGTATTTCTGATCCATTTTATTCATTAGAGATAATCCCCTTTTTGTTCCTCAGTCGCAGTTTTGTGTTCGATTTTATACAGACACGGTCCTTTTTTGTCCGCTCAGTTGCAATTTTGTGTATCAAACACTGTCCTTTTTGACTGACACTCTGACAGTAGTTTGTCGGACCGAATTTACACGGCATCGAGCAATTAGGGAGGACATTAAAAATGACTAATAAGAGAAAATGCTAGTGAGTTGATCAGGCATCGGTCAACAGACTAGGGTGGCCTGAAAATGAAGCGAGAAAGACTCACATATTGGCTTCATCTACCAGAAATTGCCAGTGACAAGCAACCAAGACTTTTCCATGTTCCTTGTCTAGTGCTGTGTGGATGAATTCCTGCCCTTGTTTGTTACTCTACTGCACCATTCTACAATTGATTTTCCACGAAACTTCAATGCAACTCTTCGAGCTCTGTCAACTTAATGCCTGTTGGCTTATTCCATTCAAGCATGGAATAAGTTGCTAGATATTCTCATCGTTGACGAAGACTTCTTGACCAAATTTTCCATTGCAGAGACCATCATGCACACATTCCCCCTCAAAGTCTTGGACATCACTGTCTTCTCTTTAAGTTCTCAACTTACCACGCTGTGCGATTTCCCCCCAAGACATATCTATACACAGGATAGGTGTCCACCATTCACGTCTGCAATTCAATCAAAGGTAGGTTCTTACCCCCATTAAGCCAAATCATTGCCTGTGATCCAAAGTTTATGTATCTAATATCTCATTATTACTGTTGTATGTTGAATATCCTGAACACGGAAGGGATATTTTTGCAGATGTTTCAATCCTAATGGCGGAGATTGCTGGTTCTGCGGTTGTTCAGGAGTCAGTTAGCCAAATTGTATCTTGTCTGTTTCAAAAATATGAAGTGAAACAGAACTCAAATGCGTTCCGAAACCTTGAGAGGCTAGAGATGGCACACGTCAGGCTGGAGGCTATTCTTCAGACATCTGATAAGTGGGATATCACTGATACATCCTTGTTGCGTTGGCATAGGAAGCTTATAAGTCTGCACCTCAAGAGTGCGTTGACACGCTGCACAAATGCAAGCAGAGAATCCAAGAAAACGAACACATACAGAAGGAAGTATGTAATTTCCCCCTTCATAAGAGGGTTGTGCATGCTACCATGTCATTCGTTTTTTCTATCTTTAACCATGACAACAACGACTTGAACAGATCCATTGTTCAAAGATTTGAGTGGTTTGCTGATGGTGCTAGTGAGTTTCTGAGATTACTAGAGCATGGTGGCACGCCACGGTGTAACATGCCCTTTGACTCTCTTACCAGGCACCTACTTGCTGGCAAGATACTAAAGCATAGAATCATTAGGGCCAACAAGTGCCCTTTGTTTCTACTGTTAGCGCCATTTACTAGTGCAGATCATGGAATAGAAGGTAGGCTTTACTTCATGCAGAAAGATTGTAACGTGCCGGATGATGATTTTTACCTTATTATAGCGCTACAGCTTTCGGAGAGTACAGACATAGTTGGGGTTGCAATTCAGTGCTTACTGCTGTTTGACCATCTTTTCAAGTCCACAGTTGAAAATATTAGGAAAGAACTTATGCATCTACCTACTCAAGACTTCTCGTGGGTACCAAATTATGTTGATTCGCACCAGCAAAAATTTTGGGACAATGTTCACAGATTTGGCACTCAATGGTTTCGCCCAAACCCATTATGTTGCAAGGAGCATGATAAGCACACGCTCTGTAATGGTACCAAGCAAGACAAGTCATTTGGATTACCATTTGTTTCTCTAGAACCAGTTATTGAAGTAGGTCTACGGTGCCAAGTGTCGCTCTTAGAGTGCAAGAAACAGAGGGCCTAACTGCCCGAATATAGAACTTCAGAAGACATGTTGCTTGCTGATAAGTTTCCTGCAATAAAGGCAATCTACAGTGAGGAGCAACATTTTTTGCATACTGTTTTTACCTTGGGACAACTTGAGGAGGTCATGCTGCCAAAAGCAATAGATTACTTCTGCCAGAATGAGGAAGCTACAGTCTACAAAATGCTTTGGAGTTCTAGGCATGGCACTGCATACATTCAGGTTGAGAGAGCAAGCATGTTCATGCCAAGCACACGACAAACGTTTCATCGAGCTAAGAGAAGGAAGCTGTTGCAAGGACAGGATGAGATGTTGGAGTGTGTAACATATAGGGCCTCTCGATTCATCGAGTTATGGTCTACATATGCACCCATCCAACTGCATGGCTCGATCATGGACTGGTACGAGGAAATAAAAGAAAACAAAAACAGCACATCACGTACAGCCGCCTGAAATTCTTGATCACATATGTACCATGGATCCATCAGCGAAAGATGGAGAAGCCATATAAAAGAATGGAGTGTTCCATGAAAAGATAGAAGTGTGGATGTACTGTTCATGACCAAGAACAGATTTGTAAAAACAACAGATCGAGTACACATTTTCAGATCTCGAATTTGGGATAGATGCTCTAACTACTGGGTCAAGACAAAACATAGAAGCAGAACTACAGCACGGAGGAATTTATGTGTTACTCACTAGCTAGCAACTTGTGTATAGTGTTGGTCTTATTTGAGGACCCTGTTCTTAATTAGGAATGTATGTGGGCATTCTGTATCGTGGTGCTTATATATTAATCACCATTTGATCTTATAGTGACCGTCCCATGGTTACAAAATTGCATGGTACAAATAAGTATAAGATGCAACTGCATTTTAACTGCCGTTTTTGTGGTTACCTAATACAGTCAAGGAACTAAACATTAAAAATTTTATATGTTCATCACTTATTAGTTATTCCTTATTATTGAATCCAGCAAGTTTTACTTTGATGAGAAACCGTCAAGTCTATATTCTCATGTCGCCTGGGCATGGATTTGGCACCAGGAAGGGGGGATGTGGGAGCTCTTTTACAATGGTCGGAAAAGTACCACGGTACTTCTAGATACTTTCATTTTTCTACTTTATAGTCATTTAATTGTGGAAGATTGGTAATTATTTGCTACATGCTCTGTAGACCGATTCTGCCGTCGCTTGGCGGCATCGGGCATCGCCACACTGACGCTGCTAGAGGTGCAAGCAATGCACTCACCGGTGCAGCTCATCAACTCCTCAAGCTCTTGAAGCTCTCGCTCAACAACAACCAACCAGTGGCGCCTGAACTCTTGCAGTTTAGTGTCCCTCAACGTGCGGCCAAGAAGTTCGCCGAACTAGTTAGCCGAGCGGTCAAGAATGGCAAGTGTCGGGATGCCTGCACAGAATGACGGGATCATGGCAAGGTCAAGAACCTAGTGGCCTGCAAGCTTGGCCTAGCATTATTGTTCCTGCTAATGTGTTCCCCCTTCCGTTCAGCTCCCAGCTACCGCTAATATGGGTCGTCGAGACCGAGCTCTAGGAGTGCGAACAAAAGGCACGGATCTTTTTTTTTAAATGATGGCAAAAGCTTTGCCGTAATTTTTATTAGATGGGAAAAAGAAAAAAAAAAAGGTTTTAGTACGAAACAGCTACTCGCCTAAGCGCTTCAGCCGGGATCAAAAGAAATACCAAAACAAGATAAAAAGCCTGAAACGTCTCCCGATTGAAATAAAAACCGACCGAAGCGCAACCCGCTAACACCTAACAACAATAAAGGCCCCTTAGGGAGCAACTGAAACTGATAACCATGTCGACTAACTCAAGGACGTTCTATGAACCATTGCCATGTTGTATTGGTTGACATCATCCTTTCATAAACTAGCTACTTCTCTTGGTCTTCTTGTCTTCTGTTGGAAAGTTCTTCTATTATGCTCCTTCCGAATATGCCACTAGAAATACATAATGATTCTATCAAACATTTTCTTTGTTCCCTTGTCAAAGGTGGCTCGACACCTTCTCCAGTACTTATAGATAGAGCCAGATTGATTTATTCGTGAGATGAGTGATGTCGCACCAACTTTGAAGAATTGCCCAAGCCTCATTTGTAAAACTGCAATCCTCCAGAGGCACGGATCTAAGTCGCCTTGCCTTGCTGTTCTTCTATTATGCTCCTTCCGAATATGCCACCAGAAATACATAATAATTCTATCAAACATTTTCTTTGTTCCCTTGTCAAAGGTGGCTCGACACCTTCTCCAGTACTTATAGATAGAGCCAGATTGATCTATATTCCTTAGAGATGAGTGATGTCGCACCAACTTTGAAGAATTGCCCAAGCCTCATTTGTAAAACTGCAATCCTCCAGAGGCACGGATCTAAGTCGCCTTGCCTTGCTGGAGTTGAACAAGAGCCATACACAGCTCTTCCTTGCATACAAGAGCCATACACAGCTCTGTATGGATCCGTCACTACTTTTGCATAGTTGCAGGAGAGGTCCAGCTAAAAAAAGAATTTATAGAGACATTCAATGTCGTACAACTCAAGCATAAACCAAATTAAATCAAGAACTCAGTCATATTGCATCTACACAAACTGCAGTTATGAATTAAACACTGAAAATCACAGATTTAAATCTACTGCAAAAACTTTCAGCTAAGAAAATTCCATATTATATATCTACTGCATAGAACTACTCAAGAGAAGTTCAACACAACTTGATTTTCTATTTTATGATTTTTTCGGTGATTTTCTATGCATTTTAGAAGTTTAGTATATTTTTATGCATAAAGAAAAAGATTAAACCATAATTACGACAACATGATGAAAAAAGTTGAACAATGTTCTTTATCTCTACACATAAGCCATTCACAGGAGGAAGAACCAAAACAATCTCATAGAGTCCGATCCGATTTGTACTCTCGTGCGCCGTGTGTGCGCCATAGTTGGCCATGCAGCCCGAGCCCGTCGGCCCGGCCCAAGGCCCGTTTTTTTGGTCCGGCCCAAGCATGGCCTGGCCCGGTGGCTAGCGGGCTCGGGCTGGCCCAGCACGGAGTAGCAGGCCATGCCTGGGCCTTACCCCAGGCACGTGGGCCGGCATGGCACGACCTGCTATAGAACAGGCGGCCCGCCCGCCGCCTCCCCGCGCCCCACTCCCCGCTCCCCGCTCGGCCCCAGTCCCCGCGCCCCACTCACGATTCCCCGAACCCTAACTCCCTTCCCCTCCCCTCCCCTCCCCCCCCCGCGCAGTCCCCTCCCCACGCGGCCTCCCTCCCTCCTTCCCTCCCCCTCGCCGTGTGCTGGCCACCCTCCCTCTTCCTTCTCTGGTGCGCTCGCCTCCATCCCTCCCTCTCCCACCTCTGGTCCGCTTGGCTCCCTTCTCTTCCATGGCGGCGACGGCACATGGCCCTAGAGCGGCGGCGTGCGGTCCTCGAGGAGCGGCGGCGCGTGGTTCTCGAGGGGCGGCGGTGCGGCTAGGAGCAGGCGGCGCATCCACCTAGCTCGCAGCCCCGACGAGATCCGGATCCGGCGGCTTCGCGAGATCTAGCGTGAGGAGGCGGGGGACGATGAGATCCATGCGCGAGGAGGCGTGTGGCGCTCCCCGGCGGAGGATCCATGGTGGGCGCGCTCACCGGTGGTGGATGCAGGGCATGCCAGCCCGTCCTCTGGCAGCGGATCAAGGGTGGTGGCATCCCCTGGTGGCGGATCCAGGGCATGCTCGGCCTCCGGCGGCGGATCTAGGGTGGTGGCATCCCCGGCGGCGGATCGAGGGCGGGCGCGGCCGGATCCAGGGACGACGAGCGTGGTGGCTAGCCTCGAGCGGCTCCTCCGGATCCAGCTTCGAGGGCGTCAGCCTCCTCGGTGGCGAGCGCGCTGGCCTCCTCCGGATCCGGCGTCGATCTCCTCGGCGGCGAGCGGCAATGACCCCCTTCCCCTCTCTCTCTCTCTGTGTCGGGCCTCGGGCTGGCACGACCTGTGAAATTGATCGTGCCTCGCGGGCCGGCCCGGCATGGAAATCGGCCCATAGTGCCGTGCCTGGGCCGGAGGCCAGGCCCGTGGCCCCTATGAGGCACGGCCCGGGAGGCACGGCGTGCCGTGCCGGCCCGTTGGCCATCTATAGTGCGCGCACAGGGCCAGCGCCCCATCAAAACTCCGCGTCCAAAACCAGGGGGCGGGGTCATCGCCGTGTGCGTCCGTTCGGCGCCAGGTGGTGGCCGCGAGCGAAAATTTAAGGCAGCTAGCAATTTCAACTTCGATAGTGCGGCGGCGATGGCCTTCGAGCAGCAACAGCAACGGGTGGCCTTGGGAAGCGCCGGCCGAGCGCACCGAGGAGCGGAGGTTGGTGCTCCGGTCCAGCAGCATGGGATGGGAGATGCGGCCGCCGGTCAACACCGGCCAAGCCGGCACCAGCCGCAGGCACGGCCTGCCGCTGCCATGCCCCAGCGCCCTCCCTCAGCTGTCACCGGCCGAAATCGTCCAGCGCCCGTTCCCTACTCTTCGTAAGTAGGTTGAAGGAGGAAAAAGAATTAGAAACTTTTGCTAGGGTTCTAGTTGCAAAATCCATGACTCATAGCTACAGTGACAAACAGTACCATAGGGCTGCGGATTTGCTAGTATAAAGTATAGGGTTCTCTTTCCAAAGTTTCTATTGCTATGCATGTATTCTTCGTGTAAGAAATTAAAACAACCTAGTTAAGAAACTAATGTACCATTAAACTAGTATTTTTTTTACTTTTGTTAATTGAAATAAATGATTTTAAATAAATAAATTATAGTAATATTTCACCCGTTATCGTTCATGCATCTAAACTTGATCCCATATACTAAATAAAAATATAATGAATGTTGATTAAAAAAACTAATACCAAACCCTAGTTCTATATCTAGATGTAGATGCAAACCAATCCCTTCATATATAAATACTATTAAATAGACTACTAAAATGAACACATGGCCGCTATATTATGTTAGAATCTTGTTTCCTACTAA